ATTATTCTCATTCTGCTGTCCTTGTCTAGGGGAAATCTCTTATTAATACTTCTCACTTATTGCTTGTTTCCATTTCTACTGAGTTTCAGTCTATACTACCCTGCCCAAAAACTGAATTCACAATTACTATATTACCAAATTCAAGTGCCATACTTTAATTCACTGAGTCTATTGTTTAAATTCAATTACTCTGGCTGCAAAGCACTGTTTCAGCTCTCTTTAAAAATCATTTTTCAGTTGAGCACAAATAGTGACCCCATAATATTTCAATGAAGTTTTAAATCATTTGTCTATTTCTTTCTGTATTTTTTAATCTACCACTATTTAGTCTCTTTTTTTGGCTCAGTACTTTTCTATAGAATACATTAATTTTTATACTCGATAGTTGTTGCATGCACATGTACACAATCTACATTTTATTTTATATTAATGAGTTAAAATCTAGTGAAGAGAAGGCTTTTTAGCTTAGTTTTTTTTATGTAAAAGTAATTTCTCAAAAATAAATACATTCTTACATTGATGTTTTTTTGTTTCACTTGTAAATTTTGAATGCAAAGAGTATTATTTGATACAAGACTTTATCGATTTGAAAAAGATTAATGACAGTTGAACTAGTTTCTGTTTGTAAGGTTCAGCTGATCCCTTCCTAAGCTATGATCAGGTATATAATCCACTAGAAAAGAAGAAAATTTATTCCTTCACTGAAGAAGTAAAAGATTTTTTTCTTTCTTTTCTTCACTGAAGAAATAAGGTTTTCAGTTCTTTTTTTCTTCACTAAAGAACAAATTTTCTTTCTTTTTTTTTTCATTGAAGGAATAAGTTTCTTTTCACTGAAAAAAGGTTTTCTTTCTCCTCTTATTTGAAGAAATAAGGTTTTCATTTCTCTTTTCTTCACTAAAGAAAGGTTTTTCTTCATTCAATGAAGATTTTTTACCTTCATTTTTCTTCAAAGTTATAGACTAGTAAATTTTTGTATATACTCATGTGTAACTGATTTCATGTATAGAGCAATCCTTGAATTATTCTGTATGAATTTTAACCCCTCCAGAAAAAAATGTATATGTGTATAGTGCAACTGGCCACCAAAAATGCATGTTTTAACCTCTTCAAAAAAGTTACCACTGTATAGTGAGACACTAATTTTGTGTAAAAACTTATCATAAAACTTTGAAGTACTTGTTGCGGACCCGGTAGGGTGCAGTGCTGGATTATACTGAGTGGCCTCGTGCCAGACACCACACTAAACTACCGAGTCTACAAGCAAAGTAAAAAGATAAATATGCGTGAATGAACAATGAGGAAAGGGGTCAATCAACAAGTGCATAATTTAAATGGTATTAAGATAGCCGAAATAAAAATGACAAAGACATCTGTTTATAAAACATGAGTAAACAAAACTTTAATTAAACAGTAACAAGTAACTCATCCCAAGGTAGGGATCAATGAAAAGTGTTCCGCGCCAAAATAGAAATACAAGATGGCCAAAGGCGGGAAAAGAAAGTTTTATACAGTTCCGGAAAAAGAATGTGCGCACAGATAGAAAGGAGTACTCACTGTGGATATTTTAAGTTGTAAGTGATTATGCATATTTTTAATGTACAGGTTCAGAGTTATAAAGAATGTTCGGTAAACATTGAATTGACCGCTGGTAAATGTTCTGGACTGCTGTGGGGCATCTAGCCGGGAAAAACGAAGCATGGTCTTGTAGAATGGTTTACGGCGAGCCCAAAGAGAAAGACGAAAAATATTTGTTCAAAGGTAATACTATCCCTGCCTGTATTATGGTTCGAAGCCAGGGGTAAGTTTAAGTCACCTGTTGAACACGAAGTTTCTGCCGACGAGTGTCGTGTGTCTCTAAAAACGTCTTCTGGTAGAAAACGGAGAAAAAAGGTCCTGACCTGTGATTAGCAATTTGTTTGTTCAGTAGGACATCCCTGCCTATACTTATTAGGCCCCTGTCGAGGGATAAAAATACGCCATTAGTTGCATACGAACTTTTGCTCGCGACAGTGTCGCGTATCTCTAAAACATCTTCCAGTGGAAAACGGAGAAAAAGGTCCGACCTGTTGGCAGCTTCAAAAGGAGAAAAAAAGTCTTGGTAGAGGGTGCAGTCGACATTGTTGAAAAATAAGATATTCCGCCCGCATATGGATTAAAGGCGCGGAATAAATGAGTTACCCGTCTACTCAGGTTGAGGACCGAAACAACTGGCTGCAAACGCTGGCCGTTTGAGACGCCGCGAAAACAGCGGGAAAAATTCAAAATCTATCATGAGTTAATCAGTAGCAGCTAAAAGGAGCTTACTGCTATGTTTAGCTGTGAGTGAAAGGTAGGGTGAAAACATCGCGCTTTTTACACGCACGTGTGAAAGGAAGGGAGGAAACTTCGGCAGCGGCGTAAAATTATAAATGGAATTAATGTTAATTCCATATACTCAAATTACTCAAGTACAGTACATGCAATGTTGCTAGTCTTCCTCAAGGATCCAAATATTTATAATGCACCCTCATCTGAATATTGTGTACCTAATCTGAAAATTTTGGGGTTATGTAAGTTTTTTTTAACTTCAATACAATTGAATTTTGTATTTTAAGAAAAATTAAAAAATCTTTTTCAGTTTTTAATCAAAATGTAAAATGTTTTTCTTGCGATTCACACTGAAACAGACATTGTAATTAATTTAAACAAATCAAAATAATGCTAGAAAGTAACATATTTTACAATGAAACTAAATTCTGTGACTTCATTCATCTATTACTATCCATGTGGCACATGGCCAAAAGTATGGAGCACTCATTGAGGCTCTAACTCACTACTCAGTTGTAATTGTTCCAGCAAAACAAACTTGCTATTATACTACAGTGTAACCCGGATATAAGAGAGTTGTCGGGACCGGAGAAGAAGTCTCTTATATCCGGGTTTGGTCTATTTTATATACATTAACACAGGCTCTAATTTGGGACCAGAGAAAATCTCTCTTATATCCGGGTTACACTGTATATCAAGGTACCCTCTTATCCATTAGTGTGAAAAAAATTTTCTTAAGGAAAGAAACAGTCAAATCTCTATATTCTTATCACTCGTATGTCAGAGTCTCACTGTCCAAGGTAAAAGCACCTTTGCTGTAAATATCCTGTGCCATTCAACATAAAAACTTTCAGAAACAATACCTCTTGATAGTTTACTTTCGTATTCACATTCTCACACTTTTTTTCTAAATGAATTCATCCCAAGCAAGGCAGCAACACCATTAACATGCAAAAGGCTAGTAGAAGTGAAAAGTTTTAGAAGGAACCGGAAACCTGATCCTAACCAGGGAACAACGGATAAACCTGTACTCTTGCATATATTGTTTGTTTAGTATTATTTTTACCCTGTTCTTTTTGTTCTTTTCTTGTGGCTCAGTCAATGAATATCAAATGTTTCTATATAAGGAAACAGCTAATCGCACCATTATTATGACCATTAACATCCCTTATAGATCTTCACTTTGTCTTTTGAACTTAGTAATTTTTCCTTACAAATTTTGCATTTGCAGTCATATTGCTTCTGGAATTGAATCTTTCCATTATTCCATTATCATCATTATTTTCTTTGATTTGAATAAATTAAATGTTTGTCTATATTTCTGGGATGAAGTATTATGTACACTATTTACATTCTTCAGACTATTGTCCTCATCTTGTCGCCATATTTATTACAACGTTTCGGCTGTTGTACACTCCGGCCTTCTTCAGGTGGCACATGGAACTAGAACAGTCTACCCCAGTGAGCGAAATAAAGGGTTCAGTTCGACATTCCAACCACCTGAAGAATGCCACAGTGTACAACAGCTGAAACATTGTAATAAATATGGCAACAAAGATGAGGACAATAGTCTGAATAATGTAAATAGTGTAAATTAAATGCTCTCTTGTTAAATTCTGTAATTGTAAACTGTTGTGTCAGAAACCTACCACCCCTCTTGAAGATGAACTTGTCTGTGAACAAAGACTTTAAATAGTGGCATGTCAGTTGACATGGGGAAGATGTATAGACAGAGAAGTTCTTAACTGAGCTAGTTATTGACTACTCAGGCGATTTCTGTACCTTTTTACCAACCTATTAAAACCCTTTTTATTGTTACGTGTTATTTGGCGTTTGTCTCTACTAACCCCAAATCAACATCATAACATAAACATAAAACACAACCCTTGCCCAAGTTGTCCACCAACCAGCCAGTGACCACCCCACATTCCATTTCAATCTTTGATCTCATCAGTGTCCACAGAAAGCTGGGAGAGAGTCTGCCACATACCCACAAGGTGACATGATGAAAGAAAAGCCACACTGAGAAATAATAACTTGAACCCTGTTTTCAATATTACATGTAGTTGTTTTATTCAGGACTTTATTGGCTTATCCAGATTGGTAGGTGGGTGATATTTGGGACAACCTCTGCTTAGTCAGCTCTTTCCCCTACCAACTCCTTACCTATCTCCTCATCCCAACATGATGGCTGGCAAATATGAGATCGTGGTTTTGGAACCACAACATGAACATATCCATTTTCGGCCAAGTACAGACCAGCACACTCTCTCATCACAAGCATGACAGTTAATATAGACCAGCACCTGGATATAAACTATATCCGGTTTTGTTGTCGTTTGATCTCTAAAAATCCCTCTCCCACCTTTTTTACTTATGTATTATACTATGTTCAAATTTAATACTGCTTAGAAGACAGAACTTCAAAAGGATCTATCTGCTGTCCCATCAAACAGAAACACTTCAGATTGTGATAAAATCACCCCTTCCCCGTCTATGTGGGTGTCCATAGTATCACAGTATCTTCCATTTCTTTTTTCATAAAAATTAAAAATAAAATTTCTAAGTTACAGTAATATGGAGCTAACCTCACCTCTTCATTCCAAAATTTGATTTTAAATAATCTCTCCAAATCGTCTCTTCTGCATGAAAGAAGTCTTTCATTCTGAACATTTGCTTTCTTTTTGTTTTAGGCGCTGCTTACATCATGGTACCCCCTGAAAATATGACAGCAATCGAAGGCCAGCGAATCAAGTTTCAATGTGGAGCGATGGCCTATCCAAGCAATATTACATACAACTGGTTTAAAGACAATGAAAACATCAAGTTTCTTCCTGACTATGGAGATCGCATCAACGCCTTTAAAGACGGCAGTCTTGTCATCACATCTGTCATCAAAAACGACATGGGATGGTATACATGTCATCCCACCAATGGCATAGGGGAGGACCCTAAGGCATCTGCCTACCTAAATGTTACATGTGAGTCGTTCTATGATGTTGTAAAATGGCACTTTCTTTCTTTATTACCTCCCCTTATTTGCATTTGAACCATTTTTTTCAAATACATACATATATATGTCCCCTTGTGAAGATTTGGTCATTTTTTATAATATGAAATTGGTATTAAAAATTGTTTTTTTTTTATTGTATATTGTCATAAACCATTGTTAATAATGCCATACAAGGGTCGCTCCGAAAGTAATGTCTCCTATTTTATTACATTGTTCCACAACATCAGAGGCAAATGTCAGTAGTATGGAAGCAGAAGTTGAACCTTCCTGCCAATAACCCATAGTTTTTCTTTTGCCTTATTACAGATAGCAATCTGATAAAAGAGAACTTAACATAGAAGTGCAGATGAAGCAGAGGTATATTCCTTAATTCCTCAAAACTGGAAAAAAAAAAGCACACTTTTACATTAATTGACTCTTGCTGAGGATTTATGGTGCACAAATAGTGGATATGAGCAAAGTTAGGAAGTGGTAATTTATGACAAGCCACATTCCAGGTGACCCTGCATGGCTGTCAACCCACAAAATGGAAAGCATCTAACAAAGACATAATCAGTTGTAGTGACTATATGGAAAACGAGCAATTTCTGATTGAAAAGTTGCTCTATCCCAACACTGTTATTGTGCTCACTGTCTTTGTTGTTGCTTCCATAGAAATAAATTAGTGGCATTACTTTCGGAGCTTCCCTCGTACATAATCGCCAGTATATTTTAAAGATTCACTTGTTTTTATCCTTCTGTGTTTCAACTGTAATTCCTGCTAAGCGTATTTTCTGCTGTGAATTTTAGCTCTCAGTCAATTACTGAGGAAAGTATTTGCGCAGTTTTAATATTGTTTTAATATTGTTGTTATATTGTCGTGGATCATTTGTATACCATTTATGTATTGTTGTTGTATTCTGTTTAAATGCTGTTCAAAGTAATTCTTAGATGTCAGTTCCTTGGTTGATTGGAGTGGGGGGTGCGATTCAAATCTGCTATGATTTTCTCAGACTTTTATTTTACAGGTAAAAATGTAATTTATTACAACAGCTTCAGTCAGAAAGGAATTTACCTTTTCGTTAATTTGAAAATTTCTAATGGAAAATTAAAATTTAAATCTAATGGATTTTGTTTTTTTAACTAACATCTTTTGTTAAAACGTGAATATTTTTTTATATTTCCAAATTCATGAATAGGAAATTTTCACATAAAATAATAGATAAATATAACTATTATATGGCCATAAGGATTGATACATAATTTTTTAGATTTTTAAACTTATTGTGGAAAACTTAAATTTGCAATTCAAAGAAAAATTCAGTAGTTATTTTCTTTTGTTAAATCTGTAGGCTGAATTTTATTTTTAAAAATTTCCAGTTCCATAAATAGAAAATTAAACATTTGAAATTTTCATAAAAATTATTAAATAATTTCTATTATAAATATGGCTGCTACACAGTCAGAAATATTGAAATGTATTTTTTTATTCATTTTTAAAATTAGAATGGAAAATTAAAATTGAAATCAGCAATTGGAAAAAAATTCTGCTGATATCTTCTGTCAGAATATAGTTATTTAACAAAAATAAAAAATAAAAAATTCTTTCTTGCTTTGAATTTTATGTGTGCAATCTGAAGAAAAAAAATTCTTATATATTTTTCACTTAACTTGATTTCTTTAAATCATATAAATATTTTACCAAAAATACACATTTCTTCCAAGCAAAAAACAGCACATTTCAAATATGAATATTTCATACTTACTGTTGAAATTTTCAATAGATAATTTCTGTAAGAAATATTCATATAACAACAAAATCAAATCAAGAAAAAGATTTTCAATTTTCATATGCAAAAAATTAAAATACATTTATAAGAATTTGCAAAACATTTAAAATTAAAAATGCTTTATAAAAGTTGAAATGTTATTTTTCACTAAAAATATTGAATAATAAACAGAAAATATTTTTTTGGAACTTAATTTTTATTTAGGATAAGCTATGTAGCTGAATATTTTCTTTTACAGTTTAAATTAATCTTTTTTACATTTTAAACAAAGATCATGACATGAAATAAGATAAAAATAAGGTAAAAGATTTTCCTTTTGTGCAAGCCTAAAATTAAAATAGGTAATTTTTTTTCTAAATATTTAATCAAAACTTTTTAGCAAAATATTGCTGTAAAAAAAAAAAAATAAATAGGAAGATTTTGCTTTTAAATTTCAAATTTTAGTTGAGAAAAATTCAAATTCAAGTCTTGAATTCGAGCCTGAATGATTGAGTGTATTAAACTATGACTTTTTATTTGCTATTAATTTTCGAATAATTTCAGTCTACTGTAAATTTATCTCAATAATCTAAAACCAAAGGTAATACTAGGCATGAACATTAGGATGTGCAGAAACGGTGCTGTTGAGCTGAGTTCAAATTCTGGGCTAATCTGTTGCATTCAGTTTTGCACTAATGCTCTTGGGAAAGGCATAAACCCATCTCTTTTCCTTCAAGCATAATATTAAATGTATAGTATTAAATAGTAAGGTTGACTAAGTTCTCTAACCTTGTGTGCAATTAGTCTAAAGCTCAAAGCTATAGAGAAAGCAATGAGAAACCATTCTATCTTTCCCAAGAATTTATGGCAGTTCACAGATAGTACAAACAAAATGATCTGTGGAGAGTCATGACTGCCAATATCCTTGAAAGGTCTTGGCATTTACAAAAAGAAATGAATCCAGGAGCTGTCCATGGATTCCAGATGTCTACTTGGGCATTATACATTATTATTTTTTTTTTTTTTTAAATATCTCAACAAATTTTATAATAGAAAATAATCACAATTCATTGCAAAAGAACCTCAAAAATAAAACTTTATTATTTTATCAAATAAGACAAGTAAGATGTCTTCCAGTTTACGTTATAAATTTTGCATTTATTGCTTTTGTGATAAATTGTTTAATTTAAATTTGCTTTACTTTTTTGTCAAGTCTCATGCTAAAATCTTGACTTAAGGGATTTATACACTATAGTTAATAGCTGGCCACTCATATTCGAGGATACCTGTTTACTAGGGTGGCAAGCCAATCTCTATTGCAACACTTGCTCAAGCACATTTGTATTTATTCAACACCCACTGAGCCTATCTGTGGTTTATTCTGCAACTGTGCTGAGCAGACCTTAGTTACAGTTTCTGGGAGAGAGTGTATTATCTAGTATGATCAAATATTTGAACAAGGCCAGCATGCTCAAGCCCTCAGCCATGATGACTTGTGGCTTTGTGCTAGATATATAACTATGATCAACCATAAATAAATTAGAGAAAGCTTCTAAACTCCCACCATAACCAGTACCATATTAACTTAGTTGCAAGAACAGCAAATCTAACAAATTTCAAGGTGACTTATGAAATTGGCATCTTATGATCTGTGAACTTCAATGTTTACATGTCATGAGTACTGCATTCATCATTTCAGGTAACATTGGAGAGAAGGAAAACTCTGAATTTAAACCTCTGCTCCCTTTCGGCCATAACAAATCATGGGACAGGCTTCAGAAGTAAACCCTGAGGACAAATCTGAAGTCAGAGTCCCTAAGACGAAGTCTAATGTTATGTTCAACTTCATTCTGGCAAAACTAGCATTGCTGCCAGTGCCAACCTGTATTGGACTTTACTTTTCCCTTGGACATCATCAGTGGCTCGGAGAGTGGAGAGTTGCTCCATGGGCAACCACTGATCTCTCATAAAGCCCTGCCCAGGTCTGCGTCCTGGAGAGGACACTCCAACATTGCCTCACAGTGACAGCAAAAGACGGGAAGCAACAGTACCGATAGGAAAATTCTGAAGGTACTTCTGTATGGGGAACTGGCAAGAAGGTGACCTCATCTTTGCTTCAAGGGTGTCTGCATGATCAAGACTGTCACTCCCATATGAGCATGTACAGCCAAAAGAAATGCTTGTGCCACCATCAGCAACTGAGGCATAATTCTTTGGGCATAGATCCATGGCCTCTCAAGATTAATGAATGCCACATATAAAGGCTATTAAATCTACTCAAATATCTTATTATTCTGGATTTGTTTATTTTGTTGATAGAAGTTAAATATTTACTTCTTTTATAAGTTATATCACTATGCTAGTAAATAATTTATGATTTAATATTTATACACATTTTTTTAATTTATGGCCTGTTTAATAAATTATGCTCCAGGCCCTGCACTAGCACTGATATTGCTCACCAACATTCCCTTTTTTTTTAATTTGTACAACACCCTGCTCAAAGTCCTATTATATCTTCCCAGGTATATTTTCCAATTTCTATCTAAAATAATAATATTAAAAATATGTGTATATATAACTGGTTTCTAGAAAGATTTTACAAGTAAATAATGTCTGTTACTGAGATTCAAATAAGCCATGCCTGAGTGACTATACAAAATCTTAGAATGAATAGTTTCCTAAATTTCAATACTGAATCACTTAAGAGTAAAATTACTTATATTCTAAGTTTGTATGTGTCTTATTTTCCTTTTGGTAGGAAGAAATGATTTTTTTAATAGTTTTCTTTTAGCAAAGATAAAAATGAAGTCAGATGATAGGAATCAGAAGCCTGGAGTTTTTTTAAAAATCCAATTCAACTCCCATAAGTAAAGAATGGAAAGTTTGTTAGATTTTTCATTTATTTTTCATATTGACCTTTTTTGGTTTCCAAAAATTTTCATTATTTTACTGCAAAGAACTTGAAAAGATAAGACTCAAATATTGAGTCAATTTTTTTTTTTCTTTTTCTTTTTTTTTTTTTTTTTTTTGTAAGGAAAAGAAAAGGTGGATAAAACAAAAAAAATGAAAAGAAGGAAGACAATTTCATTTTTTTTTCCCATAATTTTTGCGAAGGCTTGTTCCTCTTGACTTTGTTTCCAGAGAGTATAATGCATAATTTGACAATAACAAATTTTTGTTTAGCCTAATATTATGATAATCTGATTATTAATAAAAATCGGCACAAACTCTTACTTAATTAGACATCATATTAGTTACTGAAAGAGAGTTTCATCCTCTCTGAAT